ACCCCACCCCCCAAAAAAAATACATTCCTCACCGGAACCCGAGAAGAAATGCCCAAACTTAAAGGATACTAAATCTAAAAGAAGAAGAAAAAAAACCTAACCGACCCAGAAAATAAAACAAACTACTACCCTTTAACCCCAACTAGCTTGGGTCAGCTATATTAATCTTCAACATCTATTTCACTCGACTTGAGTTCATTTCACTCACCAAAAAAAAAAAAAAAAATTAATTAATACCTCCATCGCCCTAATTTATAATGGTATTTCTTTTTAGTTTATCACTAAAGAACTTCTAAATTTACACTTAATGAAATGATTTATAGCCACAAATATGTATAGCTTGTTTTAGACCACAAACCGCGTGACGAGTCAAACACATCACATAAAAATTGGGGCGCAGGCAGTATATATTAATGTTCCTCAGCAGTTTCTAAAAATCCAGAAAATAAAATAGTGAGAAAATTACCAACAGAAGCTCCAGACTGTTCAGGAGCAGAAAAAGCAAATGGCTTGAGTCCGTCCACCTTGTAAGAGTCCTCATCATCATCAGAGCAATCCTTGAAGTCCTGAAAGTCAGCCTCAAAATCATAATCTAAATCAACAACCTCAGATCTCAACGGCTTTGAGTATTGGTAATTAAAAGGATTCTTCTTTTGGTTCAGATCGGAGCAACCCCATAACAAGTCGGCGGTGAGTCGACGGGATGATCGGAGTGGGGGTATGCAGTCGGAGATTATGGCACCACCGCACATTCTTTTTGCTAAGTTATTATTTTCTTGGGAAAGTTTGTTTATTGCGGATTTTCCGAGAAAGAATCTTACTACGAGTTAGGAATTATGCTAAGGGATACGATAACTCTTAAATATGGTGGAGCTGTAATATAGCAGCAACGAGGCGCGGCGGATATTTGGTTGGCCTAGTTTACATTTATGCCCCTCTCGGAGGCGCTTAATTACATTTTACCAATATTGAAAACGAAAAAAGGACTCCATGTTATAAAATAACGACATAAAATAAAGACAAGTATAGAGAGAAATTGATATATTATTCGAATTAAAACTGATATATATAATGAACTGAAATCTCTTCTATTTATAGAATAAAGGAAGTTGTTGTGTAAGTTGCTACTGCGAGCTGTTGTGTAAGCTGCTACTATACCAGATATGGATAATCTTCTATTGAGAGTAATATTTATCCATAACGGAGTACTGAAAGGATAAGCTCATTGTACTAGGTATAGATAATCTTCTACTGAGGTAATGCTGCTTGGTGGGCCGGGCCTGAACCGGACCGGGCCCGCGGTCCT